TGTTCCTTTTCTAGTTTGGAACCCAATCCAGGGTAATTAGGTTGTTCCAACCGATCCCCTGAGGTTGGGCATCTCTCTCGTGCCAATTCTTTGTCATCACTCATGAGAATCAGCAGCTCCCCCCCCCCCCCCCCAGTGCTTCTACACTTTCCTTCTGTCCAGTTCTTGGAGAGCTCTCCCCAGATTCTTACATGACCTGCTCCCTTACTTCTTGGAAAGTCACCTCCAGAGAGGCTTATGGTATCTAAAACAGCAGCTCCTGACAGCATCCTTTGTCCTTCACATTATGTGTATTGTGCTGTCTGTCCTAGAATATAAGCTGCAAGAGGACGCTGACTCTGCCTACTCACTTGTGCCCAGAGCAGCTAGTAGCAAGGCCTCCCTGAATATTGTTGAATGAGTGAAAGCATGAAGCAGCTGAAACGGATTTTTTTTAAAAAAGGAATAGCCCTGGCCAGCGGGGCTCAGGTGGTTTAACATCATGCTGTGCACTGAAAGGTCGCTGGTTCCATTCCCAGTCAGGACACATGCCCGAGTTGTGGGCTCGAGCCCTGGTCGGGGTGTATGCAAGAGACAGCTGATCCATGTTTCTCTCTCACATTGATGTTTCTCTTTCTCTCTCTCTCTCTCTCCCTCTCCCTTCCTCTCTCTCTAAAAAAAAAAAAAAAAAATTAAAAACATATTCAAAAAATAAAAGAACAGACTGGTAGTTACAAAATAGTCACGAGGATATAAAGCATGCATAGGGAATATAGTCAATAATATTGCAATAACTATGTATGGTGTCAGGTGGGTACTGAAAATATCAGGGGGAACATTTTGTTTCTTTTTTCCTGTATTGATGTAAGAGAGAGAGGAAGAGAGAGATAGAAACATCCATGAGAGAGAACATCGATTGGCCACTTCCTGCATGCCCCACTCTGGGGATCAGGCCCACAACCTGGGCATGTGTCCTGACTGGGAATTGAACTGTGAACGCTTGCTGCATGGGTCGACGCTCAACCACTGAGCCACACCGGCCGGACAGGGGGAACACTTTGTAAAGTATATGGTTGTCTAACCACTATGCTGTACGCTCAAAACTAATACAAAATAATATTGAATGAAAACTGTAATTGAAAAAAAATTTTTTTAAATTATTTATAAAATAAAAGAGGCCCTGGCCAGTTTGGCTCAGCAGTTAGAGCATTGGCCCATGGAACAGAGAATCGTAGGTTTGATTCCCTTTAGTGGCACGTACCTCAGTTGCAGTTTGTCCCCGGCCCCGGTTGGGGTCTCTCTCTCTCTTCCTTCCTCTCTCCCTCCTGCTCTGTCAGAAGATAAATGCAAAAAATAATAAACAAATAAAAAATAAAAGAGAAAGAGGGCCTGTGAAAATGGACATAAAATTACAAAGGATGCCAAAACCCCTCCATCATGTGCCGGAATTCCCAAGCAATACGACTGCGTGGGCACACAGTCAGGGGTTGTAATGATTCAACTTTAGTAAATCATTTCTACCAAATTGTCACAGAGACCTGCTTGGTTTTGATCGAATTGTTTGCAAACAAATCAGCTAGCTCTTTGTGAAAGGTCTGAAGAGGGGTTGCCCCTTTAGCTCACCCTCCTACCAGCACCCCAACATAGACACAGTAAATCCCTGGAGGGATTTAGGGTCCATCATCTACCTTCCACCTCAACTTTTCTGTCTCTGGTTTAATCTGCTAGAATCCCTCCCCTCTTTCTGACTGACTTGCTGTGTAATCCTAAGCATTGGCTGCCCCACCTCCCACCCCAGCCTCAGTTTTCCTTCTGAGAGGCAGGGCCTGAGATAGCTCCTTTCCCTGCTAGCAGGGCCGCCCACATACTTTGTAGGGCTCAGTGTAAAATGCAATTTTGAGTCTCTTGTTCAAAAAACAGAAAAAAGTGCCATGCAAGGAACTACAATATAAAGCCTTTACTTTCTTTTTCTTTCTTTCTTTATTTTTTTTCCTCACCCGAGGACATTTTTCCATTTTTTTGTACAGATAGAGTGGGAGGGAGAGAGAGAGAGAGAGAAACATCGACGTGAAAGAGACACATCGAGTGGCTGCCACCCGCACAACCAACCAGGGCCAGAGACAAACTGCAACCGAGGTACGTGCCCTTAGCGGGAACTGAATCCGGGTCTCTCCAGACCGCAGGCCGATGCTCTAACCGCTGAGCCAAACCGGCCAGGGCTCTTTTTCTTTAAAAAATTTTTTTCTTTATTGATTTTAGAGAGAGAGGAAGGGAGAGGGAGAGAGAGAGAGAAACATCAATGAGAGAGAACATCGATTGGCTGCCTTTTGCATGCCCCCCAACGGGGATCAGGCCAACAATCTGGACATGTGACTGGGAATCAAACCAGCGACCTCTTGGTACATGGGTCAACGTTCAACCACTGAGCCACACTGGCTGGGCAGCTTTTTCTTTCTTATGCCATCTCTCTTTTGACTGGCCATGATGTTCTTAATTTGCTATTAAGTATCATTCTAAGTAAGAAAAAGTTAAAAATCTAAATTATTAGCATGAATTTTTTCATTCATTTTTATATGGTACAATACCAGTTTTATTTTATTATTATTATGTTTTATCCTCACCAGAGGACATTTTTGCATTTATCTTCAGACAGAATGGGAGGGAGAGAGGGAGGAAGAGAGAGAGAAAAACATTAATGTGAAAGGGACACACCCACACGACCCCAACCGGGGCCAGGGACAAACTGCAACCGAGGTATGTGCCCCAGCAGGAACCGAACCGGCACACTCTGGTCCGCGGGCTGATGCTCTAACCGCTGAGCCAAACCGGCCAGGGCAATAATACCAGTTTTAAATGAAACTGAAAGGACATTTGACTCCCATGTGGAATCACTGAAACGACACCATTCACATTTCTCGGCTCGTGCAGGGATATGTATTTTGTTCTGACCGGAACACTGGAACGCTGCACAAAACTAACTCAGCTGTTTCTGTTTCACCTCTGGACACACTCACGTTCCACCTTCACACTCCACCTTCAGCTCACTGGTGAGCAAGGAAGGACTGATGACAGGGAGAGGACAGATGGTTACCCCCTTTTCCTTTCCCCTTCCTTCTGTAGCATCATTTGCAGCACAGATGGTTGACTCATACAGGGACGTGACACGAGTAAGGAAGGTGTGGTAGGGTTCCTGGGTCATTTGATTTCTTAGAACACCACTGCTTTATGCCTCTGAAGCAGATTCTACTTTGAACTGAAAGCATGGCCTCTCCGGCCAGTCAGAGCCCCCCTCACTTGTAGATGTAAACTCACCTTGTATCACTTTGACTCTTGTTGCATTCCCACACGGAGTAGGTCCGCCAGAATTCGGTGCTGGTGGGGCATTGCAAACGTGGTACGTGTTTGGGGCAGCACGGAACAGAACATACACTGCCGACTTTCTCAGCTTGCCGGGGGTCTTCGCAGTGCAAATGAACTACAGGCAGACACTGCCTGGAGTGAAGGGGAACATCATAAGGGAGCAAATGCTCCAGATCTCTGGATGCAGCCCAATTTATTTGCAAAGTGGTCCCCTAGGTTACATGGTATTTTAGGTAATTAAGTCCTTGAGATCATGTCTCCGCTGACCTTACAGCCAAACCCAGCATACTTCCTGTTTCAGCTGTCTCTCGCTGTTTTCAGCGGAGATACATAACAAATACAGGAGATACATAACAAATATAGGAGATACATAACAAATACATTCACACTTGGGCGATAAGCCCATTGGTGCTATCAGGGTGGCTTTCAAAACCCAACATGCATACCTTACCTATTCACGTATACTTTTTTTTTTTTTATTCTCACCCAAAGACATCTTTACATTTATCTTCAGATAGAGTGGGAGGGAGAGAGGGAGGAAGACAGAGAGAGAAAGAAACATTGATGTGAGAGAAACAAATAGACTGGTTGCCACTCACATGACCCCAACCAGGGCTGGGGACGAACCGCAACCGAGGTACGTGCTCTTAGCAGGAAACGAACCCAGGACTCTCTAGTCCACAGGCCAACGTTCTAACTGCTGAGTCAAATCAGCCAGAGCCACATATTACTTTGATCTTGGCTGGCCAGACCACAAGAATGCACGCCTCAAGGTTACATTTTATTCATCCACCAAACCCCCAAACCTACAATACACATATTGTGTGTATCACTTCTGCTTGTGTGCATGTTTCGTTGTCCCATCAGACTTCACACAAGGTCAAAGGTAAAATCATTCAGGGTTTCAAAAGCATTAAACCAAGAGGGGTCACACACCTGTGAAACTGGCCCTGCGTGCTGCATTCTGTATTTGTAGGGCTCTGTCATCACAAGTCCCCTCGTTTTTTTCCTCGTCTTTTTTGTAGCCTTTTCACTGTGTAGCCTAGGACGGCCTGGAATGGTGGCCAGAGGGGGGAGGAAGTGTGGTCAGCCCATCACTCACTTCTCCCTGCTTCCTTCACCAAACAGACAAACAGAACTTTCTAGTTCCCCTCAACAAGCCCTGCTGTCTGCTATTATAGTTTTCTCTACCCCAGTGGTTCTCAAAGTTGTGGTCCTTGGGCCAGCAGCATCAGCATCACCTGATGTTAGAAAAATGCAAATTTCCAGGCCCCACCCCAGCCCTGCTTTTTCAGGTGGGGCTGAGGAATCTGATTCAGCATTTCCTAGCATCATTGTGATGCACCACTGCTTTTCCTGAAATATATTTCTCACCTACGTCAGCTTCCTAACTCCCCCCCCCCCCCCCCCCCGCCCCGCTTCACTGAAAAACTCACACTCCAGGAGTCTGAATTCTTCACTTGTCTCCCATGGGCTGCAAACTGAGGGTGTGCCTGTCTCATTCTCCATCTTGCCCTGAGTACTGAGCAGGGCAAACAGTGGGCACACAATAAGCGATGGTGGAGTTGCGTTGACTCAGGAGTGGCCAAGGCGTGGACATCACTCAGGAGTGGCCAAGGGTCGGGGGCACCGGGGCTGAGCACAGACATCCTGCCCTACAGGTACAGCCTGTACACCCGCACCTGGCTCGGGTACCTCTTCTACCGACAGCAGCTGCGCAGGGCTCGGAATCGCTACCCCAAAGGCCATTCCAGAACACAGCCCCGCCTCTTCAACGGTGAGCTCTGGCTGCCCAGAACCAGCATCACCCCCAGCTCTGCCCACTCACCCTCCCTGCCTACCCCCTGTCACATACCCCCAACCACCAGGCTCCCATCACCCCTCACACAACCCATCTTTGTCCCCCAGGAGTGAAGGTGCTTCCCATCCCTGTCCTCTCCGACAACTACAGCTACCTCATCATCGACACCCAGGCCCGGCTGGCTGTGGCTGTGGACCCTTCGGACCCTCAAGCTGTGCAGGTGAGGGGCAGGGTACCGGGGGTCACCTTGAGGACTGGCGGCTTCCCCCTGCTAGAGAGGGGCTGATCCTGGTCCCTCTGCTAATAGGACGCGCCCCCTCCACATGGGCTCACACAGAGACCCCCACAGCCACAGCCTGCGGGAGGGTCAGTGTCCAGGGCTTGGCTGCAGGAAGGGGGAAGGGCAGCCATGAGGGAACCAGAGCCAGAGGGAGAGCGATGCGGACCCAGGATTGTGGATCCAGTGGGTTTCCTCTGTCTCACTTTCTGTGGCCTCCTTTCTGACCCCCTTGCTTCTCTCCTCGTCTCTGTCAGTATCCAGGACTTTCCATCTTTCCCTTCCATTTGTTACTCTGGGTATGTGGACGTCTGTGTGTCTGCCCCTCCACAAGTCTCTCTCTCCCTTCCCCTCTCCTCCACCTCCCCACCCTCTCCCATGTGCCCCCCTTTCCCCAGCGCTTTCCTTCCACCCACTTCTCATTCTCCAGCTCTCTCTCGCCATCCCTCCCCCTTGTCTTTTCCTCTCTTCTCCACCCAGCACCATGTCCCCGCCTCTCTCTGCCTGGAGTCTCCTTTTGAGTGCTGCTCCTCAGTCTCAGTAACTCCTCTCTCCTCCAGGCTTCCATCGAAAAGGAAGGTGTTACCTTGGTTGCCATTCTCTGCACCCACAAGCACTGGTAAGGCCTGGGGTGGGGGGTCTGGGTGTACATGATCTTCCCTAGCTGACCCCTGCCCCGTCTCATCCTGCTAGGTCTGAGCTCCGTAAGGTCAGGCTGGGCTGGGGGTCAGACAGTGAGGATGGGGGCCACCCGCTTTCCTCGTGCAGTGTGGGGCCCCAGCAGAGACAGGCTCCTGCAGCCCAGAGGAGGGCAGGGCAGGCACTTAGCTCTCGTCCGTGGGCATTTATCAGACGCCTGCTGTGCACTGGACACAGACAGACCTTGTGATCTCTTCTCTCAAGAAGTTTAAGTCCAATAGGGGAGACAGCCTTGCATGAAAGTGTACAACAAGGACAAATGATGACAACTGTGGCAGTTGGCGCAGGGTACAGGGCGGGGTGGGTACCGGGTGGGGTATAATCAGATCCACTAGGAGGAATTAGAGTCTGATGACCCTGGAGCTGAGAAAGTCCAGAAAGATTAGTTGACATTGGCCAGGTGATGGGGGCGGGGGAGTTAGGGGATGACATTCTGGGCTTGGATGATGATACTGAAATAGCTTTGAACAAAGGCCCAGAGGTGTAGAAAGTTGACTCAGCCCAGAAGCCAGGGACATCCAGGGCTCACAGGCCCGGAGACGCCATGGGGAAGAAGGAGGTGAGGAGGCCCAGTACAGCTGCCCCCTCTCTGCTGTCCTACAGGGACCACAGTGGAGGAAACCGTGACCTCAGCCGGCGGCACCAGGACTGTCGGGTGTACGGGAGCCCTCAGGATGGCATTCCCCACCTCACCCAGTAAGTCCCTGACCCAGGGGCTTATCCCCAATCCTTTGGTTGAATAGTTTAGAGGTATCAGCAGTTGGATCTTTGCTGATGCCTTTAGAGAGTAGATCACGGCCCATTTGAAGACTGATACTGCCCACCCCACACCAGGTGGGGCATAATCAGACCATCCACCCATGGTCCCCAAAACAGGAAGAAAGGAGGGTTTGGATCTGAAGTTCTGGGCTCGGGGGGTGCCTTCTCTTTCTGGTGTGGATGCCCCGATTCCTGGAAATCACCCCATCCCTTGAGCCTAGAGTAGGGCAGGACCAGGACGGCAGCTCCAGTACCGTCTCTCCCCTCTTGCCTTGCTCCTCAGTCCCCTGTGCCATCAAGATGTGGTTAGCGTGGGACGGCTTCAGATCCGGGCTCTAGCCACCCCTGGCCACACACAAGGCCACCTGGTCTACCTGTTGGATGGGGAGCCCTACAAGGGTCCCTCCTGCCTCTTTTCAGGGGACCTGCTCTTCCTCTCTGGCTGTGGTGAGTTCCCCCAAAGGGAGGAGGGGGGTTGAGGGAGAGAAGGGAGGAAGAGAGGCCGGGGAGGGGCCCAAGGACAGCCGCAGCGCCATGCAATGCTGTAAAGCACTGGTCTAGGCACAGGTGTTGCCTTGGCAGTTACTTTGATTTGGGGTAACACTTAACTTTGTCACCTCAATTTTTTTGGTATTCTCACGACTTCCCACAGGGGCTGCCTGGAATGAGATGATGCCTGTAACTGAGTACAGACTCGCTTGCTGGCAGGGCATTGTTTCCACTGGGTGGAGCCTGGTTCTCTAAGACAGTGACGGGGGATCAGGTTACAAAAACTTGAGAACCCCTGAGTGAGAGGACGAAGCTGTGGTTGGGGGATCACAAGGCCCAGGTTGTATGCAGTCTCAAAAGGCAGCACAAACAAAGGAGGAAGTGCTCCGTGGAAAGGAGGGGCCCAGCATGACCATGCTTGGGGTGTTAGAGCCCACCGGGAGGCAGGGCACCCCCTCTCCGTCCACATGTCCATATGTGTGCGGAGGCCTGCAGAAGGGCTTGGTTGGGGTGAATATTTGGGCCCAGCTCCCTGGGCCATGGTAGAGGGCTGGTGGCTCAAGGTGCACAAGCTGGTCCCCGCCCCCCTTCACTGTGTTATCCTTGTATTTTGTAACATCCCCCTGACCCCACCAGGACGGACCTTTGAGGGCACTGCAGAGACCATGCTGAGCTCGCTGGACACTGTGCTGGGCCTGGAAGATGACACTCTGCTGTGGCCTGGTGAGGTGCTCCCCCTTCTCCCAGTCTTTACGCCTCTCAAGTCCCCCCACCCCCAGTTCCTGTCCCACAGGTGACACAGCTCTACCTCTGGTGGCTCCTGGGAGCCCTCTGTAGCAGAGGGACAGAGCACCCTTCTTTTTGGAGTACTGGCTCTGTAATGCCTCTGCTTAGCCAGAGCCTAGGACAGAAGATAGTCTTTGCTTATCAGGGAGAAGTCAGTAAATCTAGTCTGTGTGTATCCATTGTGTACATCCACATCCACACATGGTATGTCCAACCATCCGTGCGTATGTATGTACATGGCATGTGCACACAGACACACGTATATATATTGCTTGTCCACAGTTTCTAAAGCACATTCACTAATGTTTCAGTTAATTCTCAGAATATCTCAGTTCATCCATTCATTCATATTTTCTTGAGCACCTAGCATGTACCAGGCTTTGTTCTAGGCACTGGAGACACGCCCTTGTTCTAGTGGCATTATTTTCTTAGTGCCAGGCTCCTGAAGTTCTAGTGCCAAAGGAAACTGGCCCAGAGAGGTGCCATGACTTGACTGAGGCGGCAGAGGCAGGCAGAGGCGGGCGGATGCAGTCTCCTGGCTGCGGGTCTGGTGGTTTCCTCTGACTTGCTCCCATCTCTTCACACACGGCTGATTTGAGCCCGCCCTTCCTGGGAAGTGCTGTCCCTTCTCCCGGGTGTCAGTACCACAGATCTGGGGACAGGGAGGACTTTTTCTGATCACACACCTCTCTCTCTCTACCCTGCCTCCCGGCTCCATGGGTCCCTAGGCCATGAGTACGCGGAGGAGAACCTGGGCTTCGCAGGTGTGGTGGAGCCTGAGAACCTGGCCCGGGAGAGGAAGATGCAGTGGGTGCAGAGGCAGCGGATGGAGCGCAAGAGCACGGTGCGGGGCTGGGGCCCAGGGGGGCCAGGAGCGCACTCCCCAGAGAGAACCCTTCCTGCTGAGCCCCGGCTCTGTGCTGCTCCCAGAGCTCGGGCACATTGGCTTTATGGGCCTCCCAGTGAGAACTTTTGGACCCTAGGACAGGACAGGGGGCAGGGACGCTTCCCTCGTTGGGTGCATTTTCCAGATTCTCCCCACCAAAGCCGGTGCCTCTGGTCCCACAGTGCCCGTCCACGCTGGGAGAGGAGCGCTCCTACAACCCGTTCCTGAGGACCCACTGCCTGGTGCTGCAGGAGACCGTGGGGCCGGGCCCAGGCCCCACTGAGGACGATAGCTACTCCCGGGCCCAGCTCCTGGAGAAGCTCCGCCGGCTGAAGGACCTGCACAAGAGCAAGTGATGCCCCCAGCCCACCCCAGCCCACCGCATGGTGGGGAGGCCCTTCATCGCCCACACACACCATTCCGCTCATTGCTACCAACACTACCTCCATCAGCGCCAATAGTGGGCATCATTCCCCGACACCTGTCATGGGGAGAGGAGGGGCCAGGTGGGGAGACCTTGGGGCCTAGAGAAAGGGGGCTGCTCAAAGGCTTGGAGTTTCCATGAGGCGAAGCGGAGCTACCAAGGGTAACAGGAAAGGAGGGGCCTTGGGACATCTTCAGACCCACGGAAGGCCCCTCTCTCCCCCTGTTCCTGCGATGGCAATGCGGACATGGAGGCTGCTACCTGCCTTCCCTTGGGAGGCCTCGCTCCCACTGTAGCCACCAAACCCAGGGGCAGCAGGAGCCATGGACAGGCTGAGTCCCTCTTCCCCCTTCTATTCAGTGTTGGGAAAGAAACTCAGTCTCCCCCAGTGGCATGAGGAGAGATGCTTTGGAAAAGTGGTCACTCAGAGAGGCCCATGGGCTCTGTTTCACTGAGACACTGCCCCCCCCAAACCTCCCCACCTGCTCCAAAACTGCTCCCGCTAAAGCATTTTTCAAACAGAGCCATTTCTGAGAAATATGAAAGGGCTGGAAGTCTGGCTGGCCAATCTCTGCCTCAGTGACTTCCCTGCTGCCTGGAAGAGGGAGGGTCTTGGTTGCCAAGGGAACCTTGACCTCAGGCTGAGGAGACACCAGAGGCTGCTGCATTGCAGCCATCAGTGTTGTAGGTCACATGGGCTCCCTGCACAGCTGGCCTGGTCCTGTCTGCTGGCCTCTGCCCCTGCCCTGCCTACGGGGCCCCTCCGCTCCAGGGGAGAGAGCCATCGTCCCCTATGGCCACTGCAGTGTTCTTGTTATGGCCCTTATTCTTAGGAACTTCTGCCTCCTCTAACTTCTGCTTTATCCTCAACCCCTTTCCTGTTTTAGTCATTAACGACGTTCATGTGGCCCCTTGCAGTTTGCCAAGAGCATTGTGTGTCATTTCTCATTTGATCCCTGGGCCCATCCTGGCTAGGGAAGGGGGTCTGTGAGGCAGAGTTCAGAAATCAGAAGCCTGGGAGCAGAGACATCTCAAGAGAGTGGCAGCTTCCAGGACCCCAGGCCTGGGCCCTTTCCCTCTGTCCAGCCCTCCCTCAGCTCAGCTTCTCCTCTGGTCTTGGGTCCAGGTCCCTTTGGGGCCACAGTGAGGAACCCTATGGTCCTCATAAAAGCATACCTTGGGTCAGGCAGGGGCCTACTCTTCCCTCAGGCTCTGCTCACCTCTGGCGAGTCTCCAAGATGCCCTCTGCCCTCAGTTTCCCCTCATCATCCTGCCTCTGCCTCCCTCTCTGGCCACAGCCTCTGGTACCAACTCTAGCAATACTTCCGGAATAGTTAGAGTTCCCTGCACCCCAAGACATGCAGTTCCCTGCCTCTGTGCCTTCGCTCATGCTGTTTCTTCAAACTGGAATGCCTTTCCCCTGCTCCTCCTGCCTTGTCTGCCTGGCAAACACCTGTTCATCCTTCACAATCCCCCTCAAAGGCCCCCTCCTCCAGGAAGACAACCCCCATGCCTCTCCCCCTCCGGGCTACCTCTGCTCTTTGTAAATGCTTCTCTTGTGGCACTTATCACTCTGTATTTTACTTGTTTACATGTTTGTCTCCCCTTCCAGACTGTGAACCCTTCAGGGCATGGACTGTATCTTATGCATCTCTGTATTTCTGCGCCTAGCACGGTGCCTGGCACACAGTAGGCGCTCAATAAATGTTAAATGAATGAATGATTTAACAGAGGCTTGATCACTCAGTGGGCTTCACTTTATTTCTGGTTTCGTTTCCTTGTCTGGGTTACAGGTCCGCCAGCTTGGAGTTCCTGTACTTCAAGGGCTTTAGCCCGAAACAGCGCCACGAGCATATCCCCCCGTGGCTTGTGAGCATTTGTTCAGGGCTTACGATTCGCGTACCTCGGTGTTTTCCAAAGCTTGACATGCACAGGTGAACCCTGGCCACAAGGGAGATGCTTGGTGGGTTTTTTTATTTTTTATTGATTTTTTTAGAGAGAAAGGAAGGGAGAGAGATAGTGACATTGATGTGAGAGAGAACATCTGTGAGAGAGAAACATCTGTGAGAGAGAAACATCCATCAGCTGCCTCCTGCACAGCCCCTACAGGAGATCGAGCCCCAACCTGGGCCTGTGCCCTGACCGGGAATCGAACCGGAACCTCTCAGTCCATGGGATGACGCTCAGTCCACTGAGCCACTCTGGCCAGGCAAGGGAGATGGTTTTGGGTGGTCAGAGCACAGCAGTGGAAAGCACTTGAAGGGCTAGGCCTTGGCCACCCTTGAATGCCTCCCTAAGAGCCAGACACCACTATCAGGAGATACATTTTAACATCATTTTGTTTTCATTGTATTTATTTTGGGGGTTGATATTTTTGACAAGTGGCACCACTTTTCAATTCAGAACAGCAATTTGTTTATTTGTTTTGTTTCTTTTTTTTTCTTATTGTTACCTGAAGATTTTTTTTTTTTTTAATCCTCACCCAAGGACATTTTTTCATTTTTGTTCAGATAGAGTGGGAGGGAGAGAGAGGAAGAGAGAGAGAAACATCACGTGAAAGGGACATATCGAGTGGCTGCTTCCCGCACAACCCCAATAGGGGCTGGGGACAAACTGACATGCCCTTAGCAGGAACCGAACCCGGGTCTCTCTGGACCGCGGGTCGATGCTCTAACCGCTGAGCAAAACCGGCCAGGGCTGAGGATATTTTTTGTTTATCTTCATATAGAGAGAGAGGAAGAGAAAGAAAGAGAGAGAGAGACATCAACGTGAGAGGGACACATCGACTGGTTACCTCCCGCACGGCCCTGACCAGGGCGGGGAACGAACTGCAACCAAGGTACGTGCCCTTGGCTGGAATCGAACCCGGGACTCATTGGTCTGCAGGCCGATGCTCTACCACTGAGCCAAACCGGCCAGGACATCAGGACAGTAATTAAAGGTATCTATTGAAGTGGGGAATAAGCAAAGCGACACCTGGCTGTGGCAGAAAGTCTGAAGCCGGCGGGCTGAAGACTGAAGCCCTGGCTCAGCCCCACTTCCCGGGGCCAGCTCGAGACACAGTTTCCCACCCCGGCCACCTTAGCCCTGGCCCAGGCTGTCCTGGATCAGCGCTGCCCCCGGGGTGGGTGGGGGAAGGGCCGTGGCCCTCACCTTCCTGAAGAAGGGCAGCCGGCTGCTCTGAGTGTCTCTGTGTCACTGCCGTCTGGAAGGGCAAGTCACTCTGAGTGTGCCCAGCTTCGAGGGGCCCTTGGTGATGGTTCCCTAAAGCTGCTGACACATTTTCCCAGGGCCTTGGGTGGCCCTCCCACCTGTGCATCTGTCCTGAGTGATGGCACATGCTTCTCTCAGAGCGGGAACTGACCAGCATAACCAGGCCACTTGCTCCTTGCTTGCAGGACAGCAGGTGTCACTGGCCTTAGACCGGGGTTCTAATCCCAGCTCTGTCACTCACCATCCAAGTGACCTTGGGTAAGTCACTCCCTGACCTCCGTTTCTTCACGTTCCAATGGAGATGACAAATTTGAGTGAGTCAGAGCCCTTTCAGGGGCAAGTGATAAATACTCAACAGGAAGGAGCTTAAACCAGAAGGGAATTTATCAGCTCATGAAATTGAGAAGTGTGGGTTCATGTCATGGTGACTTCTTCTGTATGGATATTATTCTCTGTCAGGCTTTCTCCCTGCAGTGGAAAGATGGTCTCTAGAAGTTCCAGGCTACTAGTTCATCAAACCAAGCAGAACCTCCCATAGTCCCAGGGATTGAGTTTCTTTTTTTTTTTTGGTACATGCCCCAAGCGGGAACCGAACCCAGGACTCTCTGGTCCGCATGCCAACCCTCCAACCGCTGAGCCAAACCGGCCAGGACCAAGGCCAGGGATTGAATTGCATTGGTCCAGCTTAGGTCATGTGCCCAACCCTGAACCAGTCATAAGGATTAGGTGTATAGACCTCTCTAAATGACCAAATTAGGTCGCATGACTGTACGTTGAAGGACAGTGTCAGACCCAACTGAAACACAGCGCATTGAGAGCAGGGAAGAGTCGACCAAAGGACTCAGGGGTCTGATACCAGAAATGATGCAGGGCAGCAAAATAGTAACCCCTCACTAACAGTCCCACTTACTACTATTAGGAGAGTCCAATGAGAAAGGGCATACAACCCGGCCGGTGTGGCTCAGTGCATTGACCCATCACCAAGAGGTCACCAGTTCGATTCCCAGTCAGGGCACATGCCCAGGCTGTGGGCCTGATCCCCAGTGGGGAGCAAGTGGGGGACTGCCATTCGATGTTCTCTCATGTTTCCATCTCTCTCTCTCTCCCCCTTCCTCTCTCTCTAAAAATCGATAAAGAAAAATTTTTTAAAAAAAATAAAGGCATATGCAGTCACTTTGGAAAAGGCTGCATCAGATTTTTGGTGCTATAATTAATTATAGAGAAGAAATGGAGGTAGACATATGGCCTCCAAGTATTTGTATAATATGTAGTTTTATTTTTATTTTTTTAAATATGTTTTTATTGATTTTCTAGAGAGAGAAGAAGGGGGAGAGAGAGAAACATCAATTGGCCGCTTCCTGCACACCCCACACTGGGGATCGAACCCCAGCCCGGACATGTGCCCTGACTGGGAATCGAACCAGAACCTCTCAGTCTGTTGACGACGCTCAAGCCCCTGAACCACACCAGCCAGGCTGAATAATATGTAGTTTTCAAATTAACCAGCAAGCAGTTTTATTTTTTTCTTTGGTTTTCCTGACACAGGCTGTCTCTCCAGAGGTACAAAAGGAGAAGGGGAGGGGGGACGAGTGGGCAGCATTCCAAGGAAAAACAAAGAACAGGGGGAGTTGTAGACATGAACATGTAGACGTGAAGAGGCGTGTGTGTGCATGTATGTGTTGGGCAGTGGTCTAGTCCTCCAAGACCTTAGACAAATGGATACTTTGAAAGCAGGTGGGAACCTAACCCTGAAGGTCAGTAAACCCTAGCTTCTGGCAAAGGCTGGACAGGGTGGTAGAAAGAAAACGGACCTGGAGTTAGACTGGTCCTGATGCTAATACTGTGGGGAACACCAGACAGGTGGTTCATAACCCTGGGCTCATTCTGCTGGGCCAGGGAGAGCTGAATGAGACGGACAGTGGTGTTCAGTCAACAGCAGCCTCTCCTCTTACTGTTATTGATGAACTTGGGGCTAGTTCCTCAAGGATAATAGGACAAAGTGGTTGAGAACATGGACTCTGGAGCCAGTCCACCTGGGTTGGAGTCCACACATTTCATTTATTAACTGTCCTCCTCAAGCAAGTTTGTAACCTTCCTGTGCCTCCACTTCTCATCTGTCCAAGGGGGCTGATGCTGGCACCACCTTAGTAGTGATTGTGTGGCCCTGGTTGGTTTGGCTCAGAGGTTAGAGCATTGGCCCGCGGACCAATGAGCTGAGGGTTCAATTCCAGTCAAGGGCACGTATCTCAGTTGCAGTTAGTCCCGGGCCCTGGTTGGGTCGTGCAGAAGGCAACCAGTCGATGTGTATCTCTCACAATGATGTCTCTCTCTCCTTCTCTCTCTCTCCCTCCCTCCCTCCCATTCCATCTGATGATAAAAATAAGGAAAAAAAATATCTTCGGGTGAGGATTGCAAAAACAAACAAAAAGAAGTGCTTGTGTGGATTAAATGAGTTAATACCTGCAGGAGTTCGGCACACCAGGAGCCCTCTCTTCCTTAGTGCTGTTGTTCAGTGGATGCCCACCCCAGCGGCTGGGAGGCGCAGGCCGCGTCACAGGCTCAGAGAGGCCAAGCTGCCCAACACAGCCGATTGCTAGTACGTCAACCCCTCCAGAGTGTCCCTCCACTGGCTATGAGGCCCTAAGGGGAGGCCGGTAACACAAGTCCCTGATGGGTCTCTTCCAGAGGGTCAAAAAGTAGACAACAAACTGATGTTGATCCTCTGTGAGTCCCTTTGCCAAACTGCTTTTCCCCAGCAGCTGGCAGGAAATAGCCAGCACCAAGCGGGAGGACAAGGGGGAGGCATCGAGAGAGTGGAGAACATGGGCTCCCAGGAGGTGGCTAGAGGGGCCTGACCAAGGAGAGGTGAGGGGGGGGAGGAGCTCAAGGGAGCACGGCAGGGGACAATAGGGAGGGGAACTGCATGGGCCCCCCTTAAAGAGCATCTAGATCACAATTGGCTCTTTTTATTTTAAACTTTGTCCTAGTACTCAAAAAGATTTTGTCAAACTTTATGTAATTCACATATGAAAGCAATAGGGTTTGCTTTTTTTTTCATTTTCTTTTAGATCTTATTTAAACCCTCTATTTTTTATTAACAACTTTGAGATATAATTTACATAACACAAAATTCACCCTTTTAGAACATTTTCATCATCACAGATAGAAACCCTGGGTTACTCCCTGCTTCTGAGCCCCCACCCCACCCCCAACTAGGCAATCACTGATCTATTTTCTATCTCCAGATTTGCCTATTCTGGACATGTCTGTAAACAGAATCATGCAATATGTGGTCTTTTGTGACTGTTTTCTTTAGCTCAAGTTGTTTTCAAGATTCATCCATGTTGTAGCATGTATCAGTACTTTATTCCTTCTACAGCTGAATAATGTTCCATTGCATTTACACACCACATTTTGCTTATCCATTTGTTAGTTGGGTTGTTTTCGCTTTTTAACTATTATGAATAATAATGTTATGAACATCTGTGCCCAAGTTTTTGCATAGACAGATGTTTTCAATTCTCTTGGGTATATACCTAGGAGTAGAACTGCTAGGTCATATAGTAACTCCACATTTAACTTTTTGAGGAACTAATAAACTGCTTTCCAAAGCAACTGTGAATTTTCCTAATGCCAGGGATGGCTCACCTGCACAGAAAGGCTTTTTCATTATTCACTTTGGCTTTTCAAAATTAATACTGGATTTCTTAACATGCATTTTTAAAACTTTTAAGTTCAACTTACCAGTCATATTCTAATCATAAGTCTAGTGAATATTAATAACTTCTAAGGGGATTTTGATTACTAATTGGTCTTCTTTTTCAAATTAAAACTGCAGCCCTGGCCAGTTTGGCCCAGTGGTTACATATTGGCCCGCGGACCAAAGAGTCACAGGTTCAAATTTGATCAATGTACCTCGGTTGCAGTTTGGTCCCCAGCCCTGGTCAGGGTCGTGTAGGAAGCAACCAGTCAATGTGTCTCTCTCACATTGATGGGTCTCCCTCTCTCTCTCCCTCCCACTGTCTGAAAATAAATGGAAAAATATCCTTAGTGAGGATTTAAAATAAATAAATGAATAAAAATAAAATTAAAACTGCTTTAAGCAGTTTATATTGCACTTTTCATCCTATATATAAGTAGATCATCATATTTCCTTTTAAAAGTAATTGATTATTATATATCAATTGCATCTTAATAAACCTGGAAAAAATAAAGTAAAATAAAAATAACTCAATTCTTTTTAAAACATTTTTAAAATAAAGCAATTGACTGAAAACCAACCTCCCAAATACTTTCATTGCAATCTAATCAGTAAACATATACATATAGTAAATTTGAAGATTTCTTTATTTTAATGGTTTTACAATACCAGTAAGAATTTAACTTGAAGAGGGTCAATGGGGAAAAAAAGGAGGGAACATCTGTAATATATTCAACAATAAAGATGAGTTAAAAAAAAAAAAAAAGAATTTAACTTGAAAGAACAGTCTAAATCAACTATTCAATTGTCTGATTTAAATGAGAATCTCTAGGCTTATCTCTTAAACACCCTACCATGCCGAATTATTTTAAGCATTCTAAGTATTTGAAACACAAAATATGCACAACGTAACACAAAATATCACTAATAGTTAGCCTGGCTGGTGTGGCTCAGTGGTTGAGTGTTGGCCCATGCACCAAGAGGTCACGAGTTAGATTCCTGGTCAGGGCACATGCCCAGGTTTTGGGCCCAATCCCCAGTGGGAGGCATGTGGGAGGCGGCCAACTAATGTTCTCTCTCTCTCTCTCTCTCTCTCATATCCATAAAGAATAAAAAAAAAATTAAATAAATAAATAAACACAACATTAACAGTTAGTTTGATTCCCTTAAATAGTTCCACACATAATTCTAAATTTTCCTGAAGTTCATAAATAATTACCCAATAAAAATCTATTTGAAGATTATCTTCCTGCCCTGGCCAGTTTGGATCAGCGGTTGGTGTGTCGGCCTGAGGACCAATGAGTCGAGGGTTCGATTTTGGACAAGGGTGCATACCTCAGTTTCAATTTGTCTCTGGCCCTGGTTCGGGTCGCGCAGGAGGCAGCCACTTGATGTGTCCCTTTCACGTTGATGTCCCTCTCCCTCCCTCCCTCCCTCCCACTCTATCTGAACAAAAATGAAAAAATGTCCTCGGTTGAGGATTCAAAAAAAGAGATTATCTTTCCAAATAATATTGGGGGAGGGCAGGGTGAAGAATGAGGAACATACCTCCTTAGGTAACTAAGATTTTATGTCAAGATTTTTCTTTTATTCATTTATTTCAAAATTATAGTTGACAGACAGTTCTGGTAAAGGAGAGGTGTTGGAGGAGGTGAAGGGATTAAGCAAAAAAGAAAAAAAAGAGAGAACTCATAGACAGGGACAACAGTGTGGTGATTGTGGGAAAGGAGGGTGGGAGGTGGAATAGGGTATAGGGGGGATAAATGGTGATGGAAAATAAAATAAAGCAAAAAAAGTAATAAAATTATAGTTGACATACAATATTATATAAGTTTCAAGTGTATGACACAGAGATTAGTTATATACCTTACAAAGTGACCACCCCGTTAAGTCTAGTAACCATCTGTTTCTGTACATAGTTATTACAATATCATTTACTCTTTCCCTATGCTGTACATTACTTCCCCTGGCTTATTTATTTATTTATTTTTAATCCTCACCCGAGGATATTTTTACATTTATCTTCAGGCAGAGGTGGGAGGGAAAGAGAGAGAGAAACATCGACGTGAGAGAGACACATGGATTGGTTGCCACCCGCATGATCCCAACAGGGGCGGGTGCAACCGAGGTACCTGCCCTTGGCTGGAATCAAACCCGGGACTCTGGTTTACAGGCCAGCGCTCCAAGCGCTGGGCCAAACTGGCCAGGGCCCCATGGCTTATTTTATAACTGGCAGTTTGTACTTCTTAATCCTTTCTTTCACCTTTTTCACCCATCCCCCAATATCCTACCAGGATTTTTCTTTTGTGTGATCCTATCACGCTGAGCCCCTTTTTATAGCCACTACAACACAGACTCCAACACTTACAAGGTGGGGATCAGATAGCCCACAGACTGGGGTTTGAGTACATCAAAATGCAATTTTCAAGCCTTTGTTTTTAATTACGATCCATGTTATGCCACCATTTGTTTAGATTCAATGTATCATCTATTTCTCTAAATTCTCTGTGACTCGAGCCAGTCTGCTTTGGGCGGAGTCCTGGTTCTGCCGATTACTAGCTGTGTGACCTTGGGAAGACATTTAACTTCTTGGTGTCTCAGTTTTCTTAGCCATAAAATGAAGGAGAAAAGTAGCTGCTCACAGGGTTATTCTGAAGATTGAAATCACATATGTGAGGCTTTGCTGTGATTGTCACTGTATCACCATCACTGTTACATGTTAGGACCACAAAGTGTAGCCCTATTCACAGGGCATCTCACTGGGTTCTGTGCATGTTAGAGCCTGTCTGACTCAGGGCCACAACATCTAAGATAATTCTAATGTCTCGTCATCCTCTGGCTTCTTAAGAATGTCACATGCTCCCTCTGCTGGACGATACCTCAGGCTTGGGCTGAGTCCTAGAACCGGCATGCAGTTCCTACCATTTCCTCTAAGATCTGGTGTTTAGTGAAATGGGTTGATGGCCCTTTAAGAGGCAGTAGCGAGTTCCCAGTTGCCATAGAGACAGCTGGATACAGAGCAGGTGGCAGGCAGCAGGCAGCATGTCCTCCAAAGTTCAATCCAAAGGTGGGTAGAGGGCTGCTGGGGCTTGAGAGGAGAGGGCCATCTTCTCCCTCACCATCTGCCCTGAGGTAGCCTTGGAGGATTCTGCTCTTGGGACCACTTTCCTTCTCCCTGGCGTCTGCCATCTCAGCCTCTTTTCCCTCCATAGGCGCTAAAGCCAAGGACCAGCAGTCCCCAACCCCAGAGAGTCCGCCACCCCCAGAGGCCAATGCTGAAGCCATTCAATTCCTCAACTCCCTCAGTGAGCCTGGGCAGTGTGTGTGTGTGTGTGTGTGTGTGTGTGTGTGTGTGTGTGTGTGGCGGGGGTGGGAGCACAAATGTGGAGAGGAGGGAAGACAGAAGGCCCAGACCTGGCTCTGGCTTTCTCAGCCTTTCCTGGGACTCACAAAGGGTGGATATTTGTTGATATCTTTCAAGGGAAGACCCAGGGACATGGGTCTGGCTGGGGTGTGTCTTCACCTGCTGGCTGCTGTAGAAGCCAATGGAGGAGAGGCAGGGCCTCTACAGGGGGATGTGGATGAGGAGGGAGTGGGTGGGGACTGTGGTACACTAGTGGCCAGGGGGTTGAAAGTTGAGGCCTAGGAGCTGGGGCTTTATCTGTCCCCACGGGACCCTCACCCCCCAGGTCAGGAGGAGCTGCAGATGCTGTTCTTCTCCGAGACTCTGGTCATGGTCTCGAACACAGGGGAGCCCGAGGGAGAGCTGACCATTGAAGTGCAGAGAGGGAAACATGAAGACAACTCGGTGGCCATGTCGCACTGCCCCCTGGTGCACGCCTTTAGCCGGGGCTTCGTGGACAAAATGCTCTGTGGAAACTCTCTCCTGGGTAGAGTTCCTACTGCCTAATGCCCTTCACCCCCATCCTTCCTCCACCTCCCCTCCTGCATTTCCAGGACCTTAGTCTGGACCAATTCTTGGACTTCACCTTGGGATCAGAATGAGGCACAGAGGGTGTGCAGTGGATAGGGGTGACAGCGAGGTTAATCACAGCCAGAGGGTCAAGACGAGCACTGCTTTTGTCTCGCTTTTTCCTGTGGCCACACTATATCTGAGTCTTCCAGCCTGGGCCCCCCTCCCTCCTGCAATCTCCAACCCTGTCTCCCACGATGGCACTGTTCCCCTCCCTCTGCCCCAGGCTATCTTACATGGAACTTGGAGATCCTGGAACAACATAGTCAGGAGTTCATCAAGGTACTTCTTGGGGCCCCCAATCTTGACCCCAATCCAGCATGAGAGAATAGAGACCCCGGGAGAAAGGGAGGCAGCTTAATGGAATGTCACCCTGACTCTCTCCACAGTTACCCTATAATCCTTACAGAAAACTGGGAAGCAATCCACCCAGGGTACTGGTGGTCAGCAGCAGGTTGCTTCTGATGACCTTCTAATACACAAACGCTGGGTCCAGCCCATCCCGGGACCCCTTCAGCCTGAGAGCCCAGCATCTCCTAGGGCCTGTGGGCTGACCTATCCCAGAGTCTGGCCTTTTTCAGGGGCCTCTCACCACCTCACCTCCAAATTCTCCGGCTCTGTGCCCCTCACAACCAGTCCCAGTGACCCCATTAACTTCTGGAACGAGATCCGCTTACACCCTGGAAGCCACTTTTGCCTCAGAACCTTCCCACAGAAACCATTCCCATTTTTTAAAATCTGTGCACTTGCTTTTTAACTTTGTACTGCATGCACTATAACGACTTCTATTCTTGGGCCTCCCTACACATGGAAGGTTTTCTATCCAAATCTCCCCTTGGGTTTCTTATTTATAAAGGAGAATGGACAGGTGACCTCTGGCGGGGAGGTCCCGTTCGTATATAATCCAATAAGTCTCCCCTCCGTTCTGGCCCTTAGTTCCCCATTCTCCCCATGGAGCGGAAGACAAGTTTGCTGAAGCAGGAGGGTCAGCTGGCCATGACCAGAAGTATCAAGGATGGTGAGGTGAGGGTGGGAGCCGTACTCCATATCCTCTTGAAACCAGGAGCAGCGACCAGACTGTGTCAGGCCAGGAGCCTGGAGTGGGGACTCGGCAGGGACCATGTGCCCAACACCTGGCTTGCCCACCCTCCCCGTGCCTTTCTGGCTCTATGTTCCTAACCCAGATTTGTCCTGAACAGGAAGTGAAGACCGAAGTGACATTTTTGCCCTTGCACTCAACTTTGGGCTTCATCTCTGAGGCTGCCAACCTGCTGTTGCTAAGGGTGATGGCCTGGAGGCAGATGGTGCCCAGTAATGCCCGCTTCCTGGCCTTGGACATGGAGGGCAAACTCTGCTATTCCTCTTATGTGAGGGATCTCCCAGGGTGGGGGACTTGGCCTGGGGAAAACTAGAAGGGGCAGGAGAATGCTGAGGTGGGAGAAGAGATAACTGTGGAGTGGAAGGGGGCAGGATGGGGATAAAACCAGGGCAAGGGGTAGGGACTTCCAAAGGCAGGAGAAAGGAAAACCTCAGTTGTTAGAGAGACGATCAGGTGTGGGGCAGGTGGAGTGAGTGAGAGGGACCAAAGCAGCTGAGGGCAGCAACACTTTCTTGCACAAAAAGCAGTCCAGGAAAAATAAACATAGTGGAGGGCTGCTTTCAAAGACATATTTTTTAACATCGGGAAATGCAGTATCTCTAAGTATACTTAAATATTCTTTATTATGTCTCAACCCAGAAGGGTCTTTTTTTTTTTTTTTTTCCCTTTTGTTTTGGCTAACATTTCATAATCGACATACCTAGCTAGGACTTTCTGCAACACGTGATTTTAAAGCTGTGCCTCTGAACACGCACTTTGGGGGCTCATCTGACCAACTTTGTAACTGACATTCTCATCTATTCTATCACACATGACAAACAGCAACGTGTTTGTCACAAACAGGCACGTGCCGTTTACCCCCATGTTCTTGGAAACAGGTGTTTACGTTAGCACTTTTCTCCCCTCAGCTGAAGCCATAACGGGTTTACGTTTCAGTTCCAACAGGGCATCCTGCCGGCACAAGAGGAGACCACAAATCTAGGTGTAGTCTCAGCCCCCAGAGCCTCACTGCCCTCCAACCCCACATAGCGCCCACCCACTCACTCATACAGAATTGGTTCAGAATGTAACAAAATGGTCAACTTGGTCATGGAGAGGGGATGGAGAGAGGATGGAGAAGGAGCAGGAGCAGGCTGGAGCTGGCAATGAGGGCACCCCCAACTTAACTTTGGGGACACAACTCAAATCTTGTGGCGCCTGACTGTTTGGACAGCCAAGAGTTGCTTATCACTGATAAACGAGGAATGAAGCTGTAAGATGGAGAAAAGAACCAGGGAGAGATTTGCGGGGAGACCCTGGTGGGCATCCACCTCACCTCTTTCCCTCTATTTTGGCTGCTGCCAGCAAGCCCTGGGTTCCCAGACCATCCAGGTGGACCGTCTTCAGGCAGAAGTGTTCATTGTGGAGCAGACCATACATTCAGAAGAGGGCATCCCCATGTCCTGCCAGTTCTACCTGTTGTCTGACGGGTGAGCTACTGATGGCAGTGCCAAGGGGGTAGTGTTGAGCACAACCTGGGCTGTTCCGCTATGGAGGGTGATGGGAGGAAGACTGCTGTTTCTAGGGAACAACCAGGAAGAGGTACTGTTGCAATCTGAGTGCCCCTGCTTTATCCACATCATTCACCCTTTCTTCATTTATTCACTCTCTTCTGATCCTCACGGTGCCTCCCAAACCTCATCGAAGAGTCCTAACTGTCTGAGGAAGTACATGCGAACTCCACAGGGCCTAAGGCATAGCTAACACAGCTGTCACGGGTGTTGGGTTTAACACTGAAAAACACTGAGGTTTGAACGACTCGACACTCGATAAAATGCTGGGAGAAGCATTCTGGCGCACCGCCAGGCTGACATTAGCAAAGCTCAAGCACCAAACCATGAGAAAATTTGGGAAGGGGAGAAGAATTTGTTTCTTGAAATTTCCAAAGAGGTATTGACATAATCACTACACTTGAAAAACAGACCCTCCTTAGTTCATAATTTAGCATGTTGATTCTGTTTTGCATGTCACATATCAGGAGGCTCATGATTCTTTTATTTTTTTTATTTTTTATTTTTTTATTATTATTATTTTTTATCCTCACCCGAGGACATTTTTCCATTTTTTGTTCAGATAGAGTGGGAGGGAGAGAGAGGAACAGAGAGAGAGAGAGAAACATCGATGTGGAAGGAACACATCGAGTGGTTGCCACCCGCACGACGACCAGGGCCGGGGACAAACTGCAACCGAGGCACGTGCCCTTAGCGGAAACCGAACCCGGGTCTCTCAGGACCGCAGGCCGATGCTCTAACCGCTGAGCCAAACCGGCCAGGGCTCATGATTCTTTTAGTGCTTACAACTCTAAAGGTCTCAGTCCGTCTCTGGCACACCAGCAAGCGTCGCCAGGGGTAGGAACAGTACCCAGTTTGAAAAGCAGGGGCCATTGTCTAGGAAATTAGAAATGAACTTGACCTGGGAAATCAGAGAGACGTGTGAGGGCAGCAGTCAAGGGAAGCCCCTAGGAAATCTGTCTCCCTAGGGAGTGGGCTGGTCTAGGGAAATGCACACCTCCTGTGTTGCACTCCAGGCACCTGGCCAAAAGAGTCCAGGTGGGCTCCCCCGGCTGCTGCATGATCACCAAGATGCCCATCTTGAGGGAGGAGGGTGAGTGAAGCCTCCAGCTGGTGGGAGAGGGAGGAAAACTTGGGGCCTTCACCGGTGCAGGGGCTGGACTGAGTGTGCCATGGGTGCAATCAGAGCCTGAGATCAGTTGGAGAAGCTTTGCCCTCCAGCCCTTGACCCCATGGCAATTGGGGGAGGATCATTTTGCAGAGAACCACTTCCAGCAAGTCTGCCCATGTGGGCAGGCCCTGGGGTTTCATCTGAGCCTGGAATTTGGGTGTTCTTGGGTATCCCTGTGTATCCAAGGAAGGTTCTGGAGTCGGTATGTGCAGCTTTCCTCCCTCCCCACCTAGATGAAATTGAGCCTCCCCCGGTATTTGAGAAGAAGCCCCTGCCATGGGAGGAGGACATGGAACTCTACTCGAGGTTCTTGGAACGGAAAGTGAGGAGAGGCTGCAGCTAGCATGGGATCCCCTTACCCTCACCCCCACCCCTCGCATAAATTCCACTATTACTGATCTCTTTTCATGTGCCTGGTTGCAATGCACACCCCAGGGGGCTGAGAAGCCCTAGCGTCCCTAAATTCTCTTGGAGCGAAGTAGAGGGTCCTCCTGGGGTGCGGGGGTCCTCCTGGGGTGCGGGGGTCCTGGGTCCAGCTCAGGCTCGGTCTCTGCCAGGAGCAGCTGCGTCTCAGCCACAGCAGGTACCTGCAGCAGCACCCCGATGCCGAAGCGCTCATCTCCGACTTCATGCTCTTCCTGTTGCTGCGCCAGCCGGCCGACGTCGTCACCTTCGCCGCCGAGTTCTTCGGTCCCTTCGCGGCGCGCCGCCCGCCCACCCCCGCCTTGCGCTCCTCCAGGCCGCTCAGCCCCTTCCGCTCGCTGGATCCCTCGCTGGATCCCGCAGCTGGGCGGGGAGCGCAGCTGGCCAGGGCCCCGCAGGTGCGTCTCAGGCGGAAAGCCGGGACTCCCGGCTTGGACGAGGAAGACTTGCTTTCCCTGCTGCGGTTTTGATGGGAAATAAAAGGAACCGGAACCGTCCCCTGGCCAGTCTTGTGTCTTGGCTAAGAATAGGAACATAAACTTCGTTTATCGAGAGCGCTTTTCAGCCTTTCTTTATAAATGCTAATTTCATCATTACCCCCATTTTACAGATAAGAAAATAGAGGCACGGAAAGGTCAGGTCACTCTTAGAGTAAGCTCGTGGAAGCAGAGTTCAAACCTGGAGGTTACTTTCCCAAACCCGCACTCTTAGTCACCAGGTTAGCTGCGGTGGAGGGGCGGAGCTTCTTGGTGCTCAGGACCGTTCTGGATACCACTTAGCATAACTGCACGCTCCCCGCACCCCCAAAGAAAAAGAGCCGGTGACCACCGGGGAGCGGGAGCGATGGAGAAGGGATCTAAAGCACCACTGGTCTTGCTCATCTCCCCAAACACCTGCTGCTAGCTCTCACACGCCACCTCCTCCGGTTCTCACCGACAGATGGGAATCCCCAAACTGCGTGCGCGGGATCCCTATTTACCGGCTCCTGGAGAAGACAGGATGGACAGGTGATCAACACCTCCTTTAGGTTCCTAGCTTAATGTCAAACTATCCAGGGGATTGTTTCTGCCCAGTACTGGCTGCTGTTCAGTAACAAATACTGTATTAGGCAGTTGCTCTGTCAAACGCTTTTATATAGAATGTTTGATCTGATTTTCACAGCTCTAAGGGGCTTCATTTTAACAAAATTGAAATCACAGTAATTGGTGCTCAGTAACTGGTAATTGCATACTTAACTGTATTAGTGAGAAGTTTCAAACATTAGATAACATACAAAGCTGGAATCTCCATTCCCACCCCAATCTCCTCATGTTCTGCAACTTTTTTCATGTGTTGTAATGGGCTTTGTTCATTTAACAATATACTTTGAAAATATTTTCCTGTCACTACACAGTCTTCTATTTTTGATGACTCTTACCCTCCACCCTTTTGTTTATTATTATTATTATTATTATTATTATTATTATTATTATTTTGCTCTCCTAAACACTGCTGCACTGAATATCCTTACAGCTAAATCTTTGCATATATCAACAATATTTTCTTAAGGATACATTCTGAGGAGTGTAATTGTTGCATAATATTAAGGACGTTTGGCCCTGGCCAGTTTGGCTCAGCGGTTAGAGCGTCCGCCTGCGGTCCGGAGAGACCCGGGTTCGGTTCCCGCTAAGGGCGCGTACTTCGGTTGCAGTTTGTCCCCGGCCCTGGTCGGTCGTGTGGGTGGCAGCCACTCGATGTGTCCCTTCATGTCGATGTTTCTCTCTCTCTCTCCCTTCCTCTCTCTCCCTCCCACTCTATCTGTACAAAAAATGGAAAAATATCCTCGGGTGAGGATAAAAAAAAAAAAAAAAAAAAGGACGTTTGTTTGTTTTAACATATTGCCAAATTATTCGTGTAGCATTTTTATTAAGGGTCAGATAAAGCATTCCAGGCAGAGAAGATGGCATGAGTAAAAGAAAGAAAGTGTAATGTAATGTGCATGGTCTAGAGGAGGACCATCCAAAAATTTTTCTTACAATGATGGGAATGTTAGCCCAAGCTCTCATCTCTGACTACCCACATGTGGCCCCTGAGGCCTAGAAATGTGGTTAATATAACTAGTAACTGGAGTTTTACTTCAATTTTCATTCATTTCAATGTAAATAGCCACATGTGGCTAGTGGTTACCATATTAGCACTCGAAACTAAGTTCTGTTCATTCAATCAGGCAAGCAGCTCATGGAAACTTGGGCCCCTTCCATGCGCCAGAATTTTTTGGGGCACTGGGAGATCAGCAGTGACAAGACAAAGTCCCTGTCCTCAAGTAGCATGGGGAGATGGACAGTAAACACAAAAGATCATTTCATATGTGAAATTTCATACATTTATGGAAACAAATAAAACCAAGTCATGGGTAGAAAGTGACTCAGGGCTGGAGGATTAAGGGTGGAGAGATCAGGGAGGGGTCTCAGTTGAGCTGAGACCTGAATGACAAGAGTCAGACCTGTGAATAGCTGCATTATAGGCATTAAAGGCAGAGGAAACAGCAAGTGTGAAGGCTCTGAGCGTGGCATGTAGGGAACAGAAGGCCAGGGAGGCTGAAACCCAGCAGGGAGGGAGAGGCGGGGCATGAGAGTGCCCAGTCAGCATTGAGGTAGGCAGAGTCCTCGCCAATTTATCTGTGGAGAACTGAAACCGAGGCTGACTCAGCCCAGTGTACCCAGAACATTTCTGCAGAGATCCCAATAACTCCTCCAGTTTCCAGACTCTGCAGCAGTGGGGCAGAGGGGAAGGCAGTAACATCCAAACCGCAGAAAGCCTGGCTGTCATGCATCAGACGACTTCCTGCCTGCTCTATGACGGCCATTTCAAAACTGGGCTGTTTTTAGATGGTATCATTTGTCCCTGGAACTTCTATAACCCCTCTCTTCTTGCTCTATAATACTAAGATATATATTTCTCTGAACAAAGGAAAAACAAATCTTGAATACTTCTGAAGTGCCAGGCACTGGGCTAGGATGTGGGCACGCTTTGGGGGCATCAGGACCAGGCCCTGCCTGCATGGCATGGAGTCAGTATAGAAGGGAAGACACATCAATCAGGGATCCCGTGGATAAATGCAGACTGTGGGAAGTGCTACCAAGGAAGCTCATGCATGCAGTATTAGAGTATTTAATGCAGAATTGACCTAGTGTGGGAGCCCAGGGAGGCAGAGGGAAATGAATAGTAATAATAAGAGCAAGCCCTATGCAGCACTTACTATTCTAATCCCTCAACAGATGGTAACTCATGTGATTCTCACAGCACCCGTATATGGCGGGTTCTATTATGATACCCATTTTAATGATGAGAGAAATGTAAGGCCAAGGTGCACAGTACTTAGTGGTAGAGCCAGATCTGGACCTGGAGAGTCTGGCTCAAGTCCATGCATGAATCCACTCTGATAAAGAGATCAGATGTGTCTCTGGAGACAGATGCTAGAACAGAGATACCTGCCTACTTTTGAAACATCCCGAGTAGGCTTGAATGTATACTGTCTTCCCCCATCCCCAGGCCCCCAGGAACTGTCCCGTTCCTCACAGCATTGTCACTGACAGCAGCCTCACGCTGTGAGTTGCCTGGGTAGCCAGGGAGGCATTGCACTGAAGGAGCACACAGCCTGGACCCTGGGGAGATGCGGAAAGTCTTCCTGGCTGTGCTCTTCCTTTTTTTTTTTAATCCTCACCCAAGGATATTTTTCTACTTATCTTCAGATAGAGTGGGAGGGAGGGAGAGAGAGGGAGAGAGAGAGAAACATCAAACATGAGAGGAACACATCAACTGGTTGCCTCCCGCACAACGCCAACGAGGGCTGGGGATGAACCGAAACCAAGGTATGTGCCCTTGGCCGGAATCGAACCTGTGACCCATAGGTCCACGCGCCGACACTCTAACTGCTGAGCCAAACCACCAGGCTGCTCTTCCTTTTAATAATTCTTTGGTTAAATCTGCTCTTCCCCCAACATCAGCATTTGTGATAAAACCTGTTCTTGTTAAATTTGATGGGTTCTCTTTTTGTTTTATGATGTATTGCATCAGAATTATCCTCTGCTATTTAATTGTCACAAATGTCCCATATTTGAGCTACACTGCATCCTAGGCTTTGGAAAGCAAGCCTTAAAATTAAACCACCGAGCATCAGTGCTTATAACAGAAAATACATTTGGAGTTCTGAGGAACTGACAGTGACCAACAACACTCTGGAGCCCAATTTACAAAAGCAACTAACTGCACAGTGCTAGGTGCATATACCTTGGGCCTCATACAAATTCTTTCAGGTATTTTATTATCCCTACTTTACAGGTGAGGAAACTGAGGGCCTAAGAAACTTGCCTAAGTGGTAGCGCTAGTAAGATTCAAGTCTAAGCCATTCGATTCCAAAGGTTCTCATGGTGGTGGTGGTGGTGGGGGATATAAATCAATTTTTGAGGTATAATATTCATTCAATAATTCATTCTTTTTCTCCATTTTTAAAATTGAGATAATTGCAGATTCGCACGTTGTGGTAAGAAATAATTCAGAGGGACCCCATGTACCCTTTGCTCACCTTTCCCCCGTGGTAACATCTTGCAGAACTATAATACAATATTACAACCAGGATTTTCCCCACTCTATTTGGTAGTAAAGTATACATACCATTTACCCTTTTAACCATTTTTAGGTATACAAAGAGTAGCATTAAGTATATTCCCGCCCTGGCCGGTTTGGCTCAGCGGTTAGAGCATCGGCCTGCGGTCCGGAGAGACCCGGGTTCGGTTCCCGCTAAGGGCACGTACTTCGGTTGCAGTTTGTCCCCGGCCCTGGTTGGTCGTGCGGGTGGCAGCCACTCGATGTGTCCCTTTCACGTCGATGTTTCTCTCTCTCTCTCTTCCTCTCTCTCCCTCCCACTCTATCTGTACAAAAAATGGAAAAATGTCCTCAGGTGAGGATAAAAAAAAAAAAAGAAAAAGAAGTATATTCCCATTGTTGTGTAATCATCATCACTATACATTTCCAAAACATTTTAATCATCCCAGACAAATACTCTGTACCCATGAAACACTAACTTCTTTTTCCCCCTTCTCCCAGCCCCTGGCAACTGTCATTCCACTTTTTGTCTCTCTATATTTTCCATTCCTCTTATAAGTGGAATCATACTGTTTTTGTCTTTTTATGTCTGGCTTATTTCACTTAGCATGTTTATGCATCTGCTGATGGACATTTGAGGTGTTTCCAGGTTTTAGCTGTTGTGAAAAATGTTGCTATGAACGTGGGCATGCACATATCTGTTTGAATGCCTGTTTTCAATACAAGCGGGACACCGACATTGACACTGACCCAATCCACTGCTGCTTTTTCAGATTTCCCCAGCTTTACTTGTACTCATTGTATCTGTGTATATTAAGTTCTGTACAATTTGCCCAGCCGGTGTGGCTCAGTGGATTGAGGTTCATCCCATGGACTGAGAGGTCCC